ACACACACACACACACACACACACACACACACACACACACACACACACAGGTCAGCCCACAGGTGGGGACACTGGCACCCACCCATGCCTGCCCAGGGGAGGTGCTGACTGCCCGGCCTGAGCCCCACAGGGCTGGCGCAGAAGTCCTTGGATGGGGGGCCTGCCTCTTCCAGCTGGAGCTATGGATCCTGGTGGCACTCACTGCCTCGGACCTGGAATCCAGGATGTAGCAGGGACTGATGCCGTTACCCTAGAGCCCCCTCAGTCTGAACAAGCCTGTGTGTCCTACCCCAGGTGGTCCCTTGTCCTTTCCCACATTCAGACAAGACAGACAGGCTTAGGCTCTACCCAGCTGGCCTTTGGGAACTGTTGTGGGATATTAAGTAGCCACCAGACAGGAGGGACAAAAAAGGAGGCTGAAAAGGTAAAAGAGGCCATCCCAGTTAGTGTGGCCTCTTCCATGCAGGATGGACTGGAGGGCCCGTGACCCTTTTGGACAGAGACTGAGCCAAACTCTCTACCCCTCAAACTCTAAGGATCTCAAAGTCTTCAGCTGAAGGGGTGGCAGAGTTCAAGGGCTGGGGAGATGCTGGCCGGTAGGTGGCCCCCTCCTCACCGGTGGACACCTCTTTATTTGGCCTGGCACCATGTGAATCACAGCTACGCCCCCAAGGTTGTCAAGACGCCTGCAGGGGTGGATGTGTCTGCCTCTGGTCCCCACCAGTCTCTGTCTCTGATGTGACTCTCAGAGCCAGTGGGGAGGGGCCTCAGGGAACACAAACGCCGGTTAATACGAAAGGGTTACCTTTGCTCTGGCTGGCGTCCACATTGCCATCCTGCATTTTACCTACACGACAAAAAATTTTAACAGACAACAGAGAACAGACAACACACGGTCGGTCATCATGAAGACGCAACAGGCCACGGACATTAATGTCACAGATGGAGGGAGGGCCGTGCTGACTGCATCCCTCTGTGTGGGGATGCAGGCTGGGGAGGCTCCTGAAGCAGGAGCAGTCCTGGCCACCACCTTAGCTGTGGGGCCTGCCAGCTGGGCAACTCCGGATTCTCTAGGGGGCTCAGGAGGGAGGTTCCTGTTGGAATACTTTTGGCCCTGAATGTATTACAGATCAAAGGGCAGTATCAGAGGATGCAGGGGACAAGAATCTGCTGGAGGAGTCAGCAGAGAAGCCCTCAGGCCCCCACACCAAGCCTTTTGCGACTGATTTGGTGTTTTCTGGGTTGAAAGAAGGCAAAGTGAAACTTGTAGTTACATTCTTTTCATTTTCCCATAAAAGAGAACAGGCAGATGAGAGAGAGAGAGGCAGAAAGAGAGAAAGAGAGAGAGAGAGAGTTTCTAGAATGGAGAGGAGTTTGGACAAGGCGCTGAGGTCAATGTGTTCCTTAGTTTTGGGCTTCAAGAGGGGCGGTTCTTTCTCTTTCTCCTCCTGAAGAGAGTGAAGCCACCCAGGGATGACCCCTTGCCCAACAACTCTGAGAGTGACCAGAACAAAGAGTGAGCAGGGGCCCCCATGGTGGTATATGAGGGACCCCAAGTGTGGCTGGGGTTTTGGTGAAGTGCCCTGGTTCCCAAGGGAATTGCTGGCCCCTTGGTAGGGGCATGGCTCAGGCTACAGTAGCAGGATAAGTAGTGTCAGTAGGCACCCCTATCCCATATCAGGGACTGGTGATTCATCTGCCCCTCCCACTCATCAGAGTTGCCTGGGAGGCCTCCACCCCAGCCTTGGCCACGAGCTTGTGGGCTGAGTGTGCAGTGTGGGTACTGGTGGCCTCTGTCTCTTGCCTAGCACACCTGCCTTCGTCAGCACCCTCCTGTCCACTGGGCCTGCACGCTCACCTGGAGCTCTGCCTGCTCTGCCTACAGGCCTCACACCCTTGGGAGGGGTGTGAGAGGGCTGGCCACCCTTGGATGATGGCTGCAATGTTGATTCTCACAGTTCACATTCCAGGACAACCCACCACGTGCTGGGCACACACATAGGCTCCGAGATTCCATCTAATCCTTACCACAGCCTCATCTATGAAGGATGTGCTTGTATTATACCCATTTAGAGATGAGAAACTGAGGCTCAGAGAGGGAGATGGCCTGCTTGGGTCTCAATGGGTAAATGGAGAGCTGGCCCCAAAGCGCGTGCTTACATCTGTCCTGCCATTGCTTCTCTAGAAGCTGCTGTCGGGGAGACCATGAACAACACCCCTCACTCAGCACCTTTGAGCCCGGGGGGAGGTGAGTTGGGGCAGCACTGCTGGGACAGGGTTCCTGAAATCTTCAGTTTGCCACCAACTAGCTGCTGGCTCTATATCTCCCAACGTCATCAGCTTCCACTTTCATAAAGCAGGATGAGACATTCACCTCCCAGAGTGCCCCAAAGTTACCTTCATAATAACCACTTGCACAGTTCAGCCTTTTGCAGTTTCAAAGGGCTTTTGCAAGTGTCATCTCTTGTCAGTCTTCCCAGTATCCCTGCAAGGTGGGGCAGGAGGGATTTTCATCGCTCTCATTTTCTAGATGGGGAAACTGAGGCCAAGGGAAGTTCAGAGACAGCCTGCATTTAGGAGTATTCTCGGAATAACCCCGTGGCTGCAGGATTAGTTCATCACTGTCACTGTGCCCACTTTCTGGGTGACTCAGAAGGAGGAAGTGGCTTCCCCGAACCTCACCCAGCACTGTCTGTCCAAGGGTAAGTGCAGAGCTGTTCCCATGGCCTCTCATGGCAAAGGATCAGTTGCCCACCCTGGACTTTAAAGTGAAAGACTCCCTGTGTCTCTCTTGTAAAATTCTTTCTACCGAAACACAAGAGAAAAAAGCTTTTGAGAGTAAGCAGGAATGAGTAACAACAATTATTTTTATTTTCTAAAATAATTTTACTGACTGGGCTCAGGGGCACCAGGGGACGCCACTTCAATAGCTGGTTTTAGAAGGCTCAAAGGGGCTTTTATTTGCATTGCATATTATCAGATGCACTAGCTGGTGTGTGCACTCATTAAGCCCAGCTAGCAATTTCCTCTTTTATTTCCATAGTGAACACGTGGTCAGAAAAATAATCACCAATGCGTATGCTGGAGGAAGGGAGGGATGTTCTGGGAATGCTGAGGCACAGATGGCCTGGTTTCTCAGAAGCGAGGGACTTATTTGGGGCTCTCCTAGGCCACATTGGTGCTCACCTGGCCCTGAACTATGGTGGAAAAGCCAGCTTTGGCTCCATGTGGGATCTGGAGATGAACTGTATTTCAGGACAGTTAGGGATGGGGTCCAAGATGGTGCCCTCAGGCGGGGTCTCAGAGGCCTTTCTGTCTGGAATCAGATGCACCTTTTCCAAACGGGTCTATTCTTTCTGTGCATCACAAGCGGCATGGGTGTTAAGTGCATGGATTAGGAGGATTGCTGGTAAGGTGACCTGATACACAAGCTCTAGGGAGTCAGATCACTGGCTGGGAGACTTGGGAAATACCACTTCTCTTTCCTGTGCTTTTCTCCTCTGTGATATGGGCTGATGTCCACCAAGGTGATGTTTATGAAAGGCACTAGAAAAGCACTGTGTAAACATTGGGAGTTAGTAGTGATGTATTATTATTGTTGCCCAGGTTGGAGTGCAGTGGCAGGATCTTGGTTCACTGCAACCCTGAACTCCTGGGCTCAAGTGATCCTTCTACTTCAGCTTCCTGAGTTGCTGAGAGTATAGGTGTGTGCCTATATTCTAACTCTGCCCAGCTAATTAAACATTTTTTTTTCTTTGTAGAGATGTGGTCTTACTATGATGTCTGGGCTGGTCTCAAACTCCTAACCTCAAGCTATTCTCCTGCTTTGGCCTCACAAAGTGTTGGGATTACAGGCATAAGCCACTGTGCCCAGCCTATGATGTATAATTTTTTTTTTTTTTTTTGAAACAGAGTCACTTCTATCCAGGCTGGAGTGCAGTGGTGTGATGTTGGCTCACTGCAACCTCCATATCCTGGGTTCAGGCGATTCTCTTGCCTTTAGCCTCCTGAGTAGCTGGGATAACAAGTGCTCACTACCATGCCCAGCTACTGTATGTATGTGTGTATGTGTGTATATATATATATATATTTTTTATTTTTTTATTTTTTTTTATTTTTAGTAGAGACAGAGTTTTACCATGTTGCCCAGGCTAGTCTCCAACTCCTGACCTCAAGCAATCCACCTGCCTCTGCCTCTCAAAGTGCTGGGATTACAGGCATGAGCCACTGTGTTCAGCCTCATGATGTATAATGAAATGTGATCACAACCATGATTACAGGTCATGTATTATATAGTGACACACTAATAAGTGTAAAAGAAAAATAAATAATAATGACAATCATAATGCTTCCAAGATGAATGGACCACACCCATCTGTTAGTTGGGGGCTTGGGAGAGCAGGGTCAAAGGGAATACTGGCACCCTATTTTGTTTTTTTTCCCCCATATCCAAGTCATTGTGATTTGGCTCAGAGGAAGGAGGGGAAAGAACACTTAATTCCTCCTCAATCAGCAAGGCTCTGTCTTGTGCCTCTTCAACTGTGTAGTGCTCTCACCTGGAGTCCGGAAAGCCTGTTAAAATGCAGATTCCCCTTCAGTTGGTCTGGGGTGGGGTCTGAGAGTCTGCTTTTCTAAGGAGCGCCCAGGTGATACATAGGCTGTGGGTCCTGTGATCACATTTGGAATAACAATGGCTTAGAGCATTGTTTCCCTGAGCATATTACAGGGCATACCAATCCTACAGGATTCAGCCAGGAAAGGTCTTACAGTCAAATCAGCCTAGGAAACTCTGTGTGACTCAGTAACTCTCCACAACACACCAGCATATTCAAGGCCCTAAGCAGTCCTATAACCAGGAAGAGACCAATTCAATCCAGTGGTTCTTAAACATTTTTGACTACAGAATCCTTTTCCTGGGGTGAAGACCTCTTAACATCCTTGTGAAACTTATAAGATGTACTCCACTGGGAAATCCTGGATCAGGAGGAGAAGCACACACTTTAGAGCCAGCCAGGTCTGGGCTCTGGGTTCAAATCCTAGCTCTGCCACTTTTTAGCTCTGTGACCTTAGGCTAGTGTCTTGGTCTCCTTGAGCCTCAGTCTCCTCATCTTTAAAGTGGGGACAATAAAACCCGTATTATGGGGTTGTCACGAGGATTAAATGAGATCGTGAACAGGAAATGCTTTTAACCATGCCTGGTATACAGTAAGTGATCAAGAAATGAAAGTTTTCCATCTTTCCTGCCATTTTTCTTGGGATATTTGGGGTTTTCTGCTGCAGTTTAGAAGTGAAACTGCCTTTTCTTCTGGGACTGGCCAGCCTGGATGGGGTCTGTATGTTCACAAAGCTCAGCAAGCTCACTGCCATGGGGGAAGTGGGTGCCCCCTCCGGGTTCCTTCTCTTCCAGCTGTGGGTTTGCCCACATGGGTTCTCCTTGTCACCCTCAGCCACCCCTCCCTGAGGCATGACATCTCCCACTCCCCAAGCTGTCCTCCTTCCTCCTCCTGTGCCTGAAATAGACTCACACCAGAATTAGTCCTTCTTGGCAAGGCACTCCTCACAGAAGTACCTTACTCAGCCCTGACACCTACAAGGTGCTTCCATCATTGGTCACTTTGAATGCAGGTGGCTTGGGCAGAGGTGTAGGGCAGGGGATGGGAGGCTGTGGGGAACAAGTCTCTACATTTTGCAGTAGTGGCGAGGAGTGAATGATACAATGGTTGAGAAACCCATAGCCCAGTGCCTAGTATGCAGAGACGGGGGGAAAAAGATTTTCCCCTGCCTTCGGCTTCTCTGGGGCTCCCAGACATCAGGGTTCCATCATGTTTTCATTAGGTAACATAATACTCCCCCATCATATTTTCATGACGGAGCCCTAATGGTTCTTGGCAGTTCAGGAGCAGTCTGGGGGACTATCATGTTACCTAATTTGGGGAGAGGGGTGGCATCTGAGTAAACAGAAGCCTTGTCTGTTGCTCTGAAGCCAGGAGGGGATAGAAATCTGACATCTGAAGGCTTTGGGGCAAGTGAATGGAATTCCTTCCTGCCTGTGTATAAGAAGGTTAAGATGCAGACCCCAGTACACAGTGGCAGCCCCTCTCCCCCACCCTCCACCCCTGAGACCCAGGACAAACGCTCCAGCACAGGCAATAGCAAGAAACACCAGTCCACATCCGAGGGACAGAACCAGGCCCGAGCCCAAGCGAACCCCCTGCCCATTGGCTCCGTGAAAGAGAAGAGGAAGAAATGTTTACTGGTGGCTCAGCCATGCTGCAGGACAGGGCCAAGGAACTGAATCTCGGCCTGGGTCCCCTTGCCTCGAGGAAATTTTAGAGTTGAGGGCCGGAGACTTTGCTGGGGACCCAGATGCCAGCTTCAGCCCAAGTCCTGACCCCAGGCCTTCTTCCCAAAGCCAGGGCCAGGAATACGCTTAGGAAAGGGCCACGCCGGGTGGGATGCTGCTTCTTGGGAGCCAATCTGAAGCCAAAGTCTTGTCCCTTGTCTGGGCTCCGTGGGGGGTCAAGGGCCCTGCAGGAGTCAGCACCTTTTTGGCAGCTGTGAGGCTGACAGGGTGCAGAGCTGACTCCCCGGCTGTGGCTCCTGTCTTAAGCGCCTGCCCCATGTGAGAGGGTGACTGTCCCAGCGGCCCATGCACATCCGAGATCTGTGCAGTCCAGAACAAGGAAAGAAAGCCCAGAGTTGGGGTGGGGGAGAGACGCCCATCCAACCACGACCAGGAGCTCGCCGTGGGAGACATACCATTGACTAGGCTGGCATTCGCACTATCTGCAGCATTTGAAGCTGCCGCACCGTCTGCTGCTGCAGGGGGGTGGGAGGGATGGAAAATGCAGTGTCACAATGGAGAAAAGCAACAACAACAAAGACATGAACCCACTTGCGGGGAGATAACATGACTCTATTCTTAAAAAAAATCCTCCATTGGAAACCAAGAAACTCAAATTTGAGGTGGGGGTGAAATGTTCCATAGAGATGCCGCAGAGGTGGAGGGGAGAAACTCAGACATGGAGGGTCTTTCAAATAAAGCATGGCGGATGACCAGGAGGGTTGGGTGGGATGGTGCTAGTCTGTGCTAAGGTCTGGACCTTGCTGGTCCAAGCAGTCAGGGGAGCCCCTGGCAGAGAGGGTTCCATAAAATGAGGGAATCTGGCCAGGAGTGGAAAAATATTCACAGGCAGTGCAGGGTGGGCATGGACCACTCAAAACGAGTATTCTCCAAGACCACCATCTCCGTACACCAGGGTGTTCTACAGAACATTTGCTAATGGTAAGTACTTTGACTTAACTGGATTCATGCCCTTGATTCAGGCCACTGCCTCCTTCCCTAACTGGCATTCCAGAGACTGCTTTGGGAACCCTCATGTGAGATGCCTCCCAAATTTAAAAGGTGACATCAAGTATGTTGCATTTTGTATGAGACAGAAAAGGCACTAGTGAATTTTTCTTAATTTAGAAATTAAAAGTGATATGAGATGGCTAAATTCATACCCTTTGCTCTTTCTTGGGGGTGGGGAATAGTGTTTTATGGGCAGGAGAGGGAAGGGGCCCCACTGGGTGAACCACACTGTTGTGTGAGGGCATGGGCTCCCTGGGGGTGCTGGTGGGGAGAGCAGGGGCTGGGGGGGCCCTGTGATGGTGAGCAAGCTTTGTGTGCTGGTATGCAGGGCTGAGGGTGGTGTGGAGATGGTGGTGGTGCCACTTGGCATTGGCCAGTAGGATGAGGCACTGTAAGGGCAAGAGGGTAGAGTGGGGTGTTGGCTTGATCCACAGGGCTGGCATCATATCAGGGTGCAGAGGAGGGTCTGGGGGGTGGAGCCACCCACAGGCATGTGGCCTCCTCCAGCTGTGTGCTGGTGGTCTAGGGGCAGGGCCTGGTGGCCAAAGCCTGCTGCTATTTCTAAAAGCCCATCTACCCTGAGGGTGTCTTACTGTACCTGATAGCTGAAGGCCATCCCCCTTCTTCACACCTGTGTGATGATTTTTGAGACATGTTAATGAAGGAGAAGCACACAGCCTTATCTGCCCATGCGCGCACGCACACACACACACACACACACACACACACACAAACACACACACACACGTGCGTACACACATGGCCACACACCTAGGGTCATCCTGAAATGGGGACACGTGGCTGGTGGGCTCTAAGCAAGGTCCCTAGTGGAGGTAATGAGATGGGAGGGCAGAGGGTGACCAGCTGAGGTCATGCTGCTCATGGTGGCCTGAGATGCTGGGCTGTCCCCCCAGGCTTCCTCTGCCACGTCCCCTCCACATTCCACCATCTTCTCTCCACACAGGCTGTTTTCTGACATCTCAATCTCACTGGGGTGCAGGTGAATGTTCAGTGAAGGACTCTAAACTGTGCTTCTGGGGCATCTGAGGCCTGTCTTCTTACTGGCATTTAGAAAACCACAGATCTGGCCCTACTGGCATTTTAAAAATCACAGATCTGGCCCATGGAAGAGTCTGGGGACGTTTTCCCCTCACCCAGACCTCAGTGAGGTGAAGACAATGGATACAAATTGCTGCATCCTGCCTACCTGCTCAGATCTTCCCAACTGCTGGCATTGTGGAATAGGGCTCAGCCATCCTGACCACAGATTCAAACCCAGCATATGCACAATCACCTTATGTTCTCTGGGACTCTTGGTCAGGCCCCTTTTCTCAGTTTCAGCCTCAGCACTTCTTTACTTTAGCCTCCTAATTTCCCAGAACATAGCTCAGCTCCATTGTTCCTGCTGGGAGGGGCCAACATAATCTTAGGGGACCCCCTAGAAAATGGGTTTCGCCTTCATGAGGAAGTAACTTTCAATCTTGACCTAAGCTCTGTACCTGATTGGCCTCTGAGAGCTGGAGGGAGCAGGGCTGCCCCTAAAATTCAGGGAGTGGCCATCTGTCCTCTCATCTACCTTCTGGGATTCCAGAAGTTCTGAATGTCACAGATCCTCCCCTAGAGCTTGAGGAAGGAGACAAAACACTGAAAATGTGAAAGGGGGGCTATCTCTGAGACCAAGTGTGGTGACAGGTAAGGAGTCAGCTGTGCTGGGACCAGAAACCTGGGCCTTTGGATTTGTGCCTGGCCTAACGAGACTTGAGCTTTTTGTGTGAGTATCCCTCCTCTGTTCTGAGAGACATTTTTGGCCTCGGTGGTTAGTCTACTACACTGAGGAGAGACCAGTGAATAAGGAATCTTATTTCCAAGAAGGAGGAAGAACCAGAATTCAGACAAGATGGCAGATCTGGGAGCACTGGAGAGCAAACTCATAATAGTTGATTTGAAGCCATGCATATGGCTGTCTTTCCCAGAATCTCCTCTGCCCATGTCTTAGATGAATCTGTGCTGGGTGGATTTTCAGTTCTGCTCAGTGGAGTTGACAATATTGGAAGGAATATGCTTGGGTGGAGATTTCTACTCAATACTGGAGTGATGAGGGACCAATTGATGCTGGCTGCTTCTACCACTTGAGGGTGGAGACTCAACAACATGGTCAGCATCCTTGGCTTGGCACAGAGGGGAAGGAGGGGCTTCCATGACATGATTGGACAAGACAGACTGGGACAAGACCCTGAAGATGGAACAGACAGAGCCTACCTGGCCCGTGCAGGCCTTAAGGATGCATGAGGTGGCTGTCAGCACAGGGTGTGGACATAGAAGGCACTCAATAACTATTTTGTTGAGTGAACAAATAAACGAACAAACAAAAAAATGTGGCCTTAAGAGCTCCTCTCCTGGCCTGCAAGGGGATTAGGCTTACCTTTCTTGTCTTTCTTCTCTTCCTCTTCACCACCAGCCCCCAGCAGTGTAAAGATGATGCCAGTCTGAGAGTTCACACCCACAGCAGTCACCAACATCCTTCCTGAGCCCTCCATCACATGGGTCCCTGGGAAAGGGGACAAAAGCCTAGTTACCATTGCATGGCTGAAGCCCTCTCCCCAAAGGAGTGAAGAAAGGAAGTCTCAGTTAGCTCCTGGGTCTTTGCCTGCTGAGGTCATGGGGCACCACCTACAGTTAAGATTCACACTGTGTGTGTGGTGGGTCCTTTCAAGATGCTTTCACCTCAGGAGAGTGCTGGGCTGGAAACGCTGTTATCTGTCAGTTCTCAGGTACCCCAAACAGCCCCAGGCCCACCACCTACTACCTGCCCTGCAGGGTTACTTCCTCCTTCTGCCTCCTTCTCCCCACTCCTTCCCCACCCTTACAGATGTAGACAACAAACTCCAGGAGTGTCCTGAAGTGCATGATGCCACTATACACATTACAAAAATCACAGATTTTTTTCTTTAGATTTTTTCATATCACTTTACAGTTATTACAGCATTGTTGGTGCTCATCTCTATTTTATAAATAAGGTGGTTATGCAATTGCTTGCTAGATCTTGTTATTCAGTTTTAATAAAGTACACTCATCACTATACCACACATTTTTTTCTACTTATGCCAATATAATTGATTTCCTTTGTGATCCAATGCATTTCATTTTATATATTTCAAGGTTTTATATGGAGTTGGGGTGGCACATGATGACACTAGACTTCCCAGGGGTCTATGCTGCAAGAAAGGTTAAGAACCTCTTTCCTAGAACTTTATATTTCTCAAACTGGGTTCCAAAGAGCCCTCAAATTCTTTCTGGGGGCTAGAAGGGTGGCTATGGGGGGTGAAGGAGGCCTTTGGTCAGGGTTGGCTCTATTTCTATTTATTTTTGGGGCTTCAGTGTCAGCTTTCGTTTGATAAGAGAGTCTTGTTGTTGGCAGTCCCTCCACCATGCAGGCTCAGAGAGCAACTTGTCCAACAGCACACAAGGGCTTCAGAGGGAGGATAAGCTGCAGAGGGGAAAGAAATGTGGTCTATACACTTGACGGAATATTATTCAGCCTTAAAGAGAAAGAAACTTGAACACAGGCTACAACATGGATGAACCTTGAGAACCCTGCAGTAAGTAAGTGAGCCAGCCATGATAGGAGCATAAATTCCATATGACTCCAGAACGTAGAATGGTGAGTGCCAGGGGCTGGGGAAGGGAGATGAAAATTAGTGTTAATGGGTGCAGAGTTTCAATTTGGGAAGATGAAAAGAGTTCTGGGGATGGGTGGTGGTGACAGTTGCACAACAGTGTGAATATATTTAATGCCATTGAACCGTATACTTAAAAGTGGTTAAAATGGTAAATTCTATGTTATGTGTATTTTGCTATTAATATAATTGTAAAAATTGGGGGAAAATAAGCCCACTGAAGCCACAGCCTAACTGGGGAAGCAAAGGTGACCCCAGGAGGGCAGCTGGGACCCAGTCTGGGAAGTGGACAGCAGCTACGCCCACCCAGTGCTAGCAGTGAGGGAATGCAGCACTGCTGGTCCTTTGTCCTTTGATTGGTGCTGGAAGGATTTGGATCCTGGAAGGTTGGCTCTCCAGGCACACAATTTTTTTTCCCGTTTTTATTTTTTGCTACTCTGATTAGAAAGCTGTCTACCATGCAGGACACACTACCTTCTCAAATGGGAGAGTAAGAATTCCATCCTGGCCTAGATAGACGGTATCACAGGGGCCCTGACAGCCACAACAATGACTCTCTGACATGCTACGCCTTGCTTCTTGAATTCACTTCTGCCCCTTAGAGTTCTTTCTGTCCCCTGGTGACTGGGTGCCACATCTTCCTCTTTTCAGCATAATTTATCTCTTACTGTGTTTTGGTTTGCTTCAGATTTGAAGTCATGTGAGGAAACTCATTAGAATTGTATCTAAAATAAGAGTTGAGGGGTTCTGAGTCAGGACCTAAAGAGCTTTCCTTAAGCAAGGAATCTGTTTTTGCTTTTTAAGTGGCATCACTCACCTTGTCCCTTTCCTTCTAGGATCTGAGCACTATCCCAGTGTTGTGTGTGTGTGCCTGTGTGTGTGTGCATGCATGTATGTGTGTGTGTGTGTGTATGTGTGTGTGCATGCAACACTCTAGCCTCGTAGTCTCCAGGATCTCAGGATCTCAAAGGGCTTTCAGGGAGACAGACACTCTCCCATGATCCCAGGTAGGTAAATGTCAACCTGTCCATGCACAGATGCAGAAACCAAGTCATGAAGGATCACACAGGGGGCGTGCAGAACCCAGCTCTCTGATGGCAAGCTCTTTGGCCATTCCCAGGACAGAAGGACAGTGCTTTTTATTCCTGCTCAGCAGGGCACAGTGGGGACCACACAATGAGCTCAGATACTGGCTCCAGGCTGAGGATCCCAGGCCTGGTGACTTCTCATCACAGGCAGACCCTGGAGCACCCCTGCTCTATCACCCTGGTGAGGCCCAATAACGGGATCTTGGTCATTATAATAACTTGCTGACCAGATGTCTCCCTGGGCACTGGCTCAGCTTGTGAGGGGCCTAGGAGGAGGGGTTGTTACATATCAGCATTAGACAGATGCTGAGAAACTGAGGTCTTATGGGGGGTATCACTGGAGACTCTTCAAAGGAGAGCAAGGAATATACTATGTTGTATTCACAGAGAGCAGTAACAGCCACCCAAGCTGACCTCTGTAGAACACCTACTGTGTGCAGGGCATGTGCTTCCCTTCATGCTCAATGATCTCATCTAGTCCCTAAACTGGAGGAAACTGAGGCTCAGAGTGAAAGGCGGCCTGCCAAGTGACTCTGCTGGTGAGGGGCAGAGCCTGGACTGGAACTCTCTGCTGTCCCCGAGCCTGTTGTCTTTGTTACCTTCCACTTTGCTCCCAGGGAACAAGGCCCTCACATTCTGGTCTGAGACACATCAGTAGAAAGGTTAGCTGGAAATGAAGGCATTGGTTCTCTGGCTTAGGTGGCAACCGAGAGGCTGCTCCCCACCTCCCAAGCCAAGGCAGGATGGAAAAAGATGCAGGGGGCCAATTTCCACCCAAGATAATCAGAACCCCAAATCACCTTCTAATCTAATCACTCCCATCGCAGCAAGGAGCTGGCAGCTCTACACCCACATCCGGAGGCAGGGAGGTGGGAGGAGGATGCCAGACAGGGGGCTAGGCATAGTGTGCTCTCTGCCCAGCCCTGGAAAAGCCCCAGGGTGTCCTCTAGAGCCCAGCAATAGCCAGGGCAGGGGAGATGGGGCATCCACAATCCCCCAGTCCTCCCTCCCTCTGTGCTCTGGTGCCCTCAAGCCTCTGCTCTTACCTGTGTCCCCCCAGTTCCAATTCCCTCTCTGAGGGTTTGGAGGGCTTCCTGAGGTCAAACCCCTTCAATCATCAGCACTCCCTGGATGAGACCTCAGCCTTCTTGGGGACTGGACACTGAGTCCTGTCTCGTGGCCTCTGCCCTTGGAGCGTGTGCAGCTCACTGGCCCTTGGTGTCAGCCCCCTGGTCTTTGCTCACAGTGACCACTTGAATGCCTTTCCCTCACCTCTTGCTCAAAGCCTCCTCCACAGGATAAGTGGCCTTCCCCTTGGGTGCCCTCCTGACTCCCACTAGGGAACTTCACCTGTCTCCTCTGAACTACCCGCAGTCTCCTCTGGGGGTACTTACAGGCCTGGCTCCTCCTGACCATGAGCCCTCCGAAGGCGGGGTCTGAGTGGGAGTGTCCTCTGGGTCTTCCCTGCACAGCCGGGTTTAAAGCTGCAACTCCAGCACAATTTTTTGTACTATTTTGAACTTTCCAGGGTGGGCATTACGTTTATAATTGGAAATACTGACACCTCTAATAAATCACCTTTATGTTTTGCGGAGGGTCACATTCATCCCAGCTGTATCCCCTCCTCCCATACCTCATTGGGCTGTGCCCTCTCCTCTCCCAAGCCCTCCTGCCAGGGGAAGACTCCGAAGGACTGGAACATTCCCTAGGCCATTCCCCTTGGGCTCCACAAGTCCCCTGCAGAGGGCAATGCTTAACATCAGGGCAGAGGGAATTAACGGCAGAGCAACAAACGTCCAAGTCAAAGGGCAGTGGGCTAAGCCTCTCAAAGGACGACCGCAGGGTTTTTGGGTAGGGGCAGAGGTGGGAACCCCCTGGGGATGGAGGCCCTGATAGGGCCTTGTGGGATGTGGGACCTCACTGTCCACAATTCCTTGGGCAGCACTCTGTAGCCTCCACCTCCTCTAACTGCCCATGGAACCCTTCAGAATACACAAGCACGGGGAGGGATAGAGAGCAAGCCCCAGACTGGGAAGACAGCACCTGGAACCTGGTGTCTAATTCTGATTGCTGTGTGACCTCTCCTCGCTGGACTTCAGGTCTGTGATCTGTAGAGTGGGAAGGGAGCTGGCTTAGGTCACCACATCTCAGCGATAGTGTCTCGACACCCTGTCCGAGAAAGACCAGCCTACAGCACGTCCTGGGTAGGGTAGACAGCTACATTCTGGGAAGAAGAGAGCACGGGGGGAGCAGCAGAGGCCTGCGTGGACAGAATGACCAGGTGGCGCCCCCTCACCCCCAGCTCCACAGTCCTTCGCTGGACGGACAGACATGGTGGGGTGTCAACTTCACACTAGGCTCTGGGGCCTGCAGGAGGGGCCCCCTGTGGTCCCTGCCTCTAGGAGCTCACAGTCTAGCTGGGTTCAAGGAGAGCAGATAGGCACACAGATCCATAGCAATGCAAGACCAAATCAAGCCAAGGACATGGTAGGCCGGAGGGGGTACAGCCAGGCAAAGGTGGGAGGTGGCCCAGTGTGATGGCAGTGGGTGAGGAAGTGTCTGAGAGGAGGGCGACAGAGTGGAGTCTTTGCTTGGTGTTCAATAGGGAGCCACTGAGAGTATCTTTGGCTGGAGGGGGAGGAAGGGAGAGAATATCTTTTGAGCATTCATGATGTGCCAAGTCCCATCTGAGCCACTTTTTGCTCAGCTGCCACAGTCTGTGAGGTGGTCAGCCTCACCCCATTTCACAGATAGGGCAGCAGCTCAGGGAGTCATCTCTGCAT